CCCCCGAGAAAAAAGTTTTGAACTGTCTGAGAAACCGAAAAGTCCAGCACCACGGCGACCTCTTACCCGCGGTGAACGGCCTGCTGCCAAACGACGGCGGCGGCCGCGGATGACGACGACGTCGTCTGGAACGCTCCAGAGTCGTTGGCCGGGGCTCGGGGGGGCCATAATGTCGCGCACCATCGAGCCGGGCGTGGGAAACGGCCGGCCGCGCACGCGCCCTCCGCGTTCGACGGGGACCCTCTCAGGGCGCGGGCGGGGGGCGCGGGTGACGGACTGGCACTGGCGCCCGCCGGACGAGTATTTGGGAAAATGCCGTTTCGCGGCCGCGTCGCGCTGAGCCCTGCGCGGGGGCACGGTGCGGAACGATAGGTGGACGGCGGCGGCGGCACGACACGACGCCGCGTGGCCGCGGCGAAGCCGTTGACGAGGACGTTGACAAAGCTGGTGACGAAGCCGTTGACGAAGCCGTTGACGAAGACGTTGACGAAGCCGTTGACGAAGCCGTTGACGAATAGGCAGTTAGCCAAGCAGTTTAGCGAACCCGTAACGAGGTCGTGAGCAGACCATGACGACGCTGTGACGATGACCGTAACGACACCTTAACGACGCTGTGACGATGTCGTGACGATGCCGTGACGATGCCGTTCCGACGTCACGGCAGGACTTTCGAGATATACGCCGCGAGGGGTGAACACTCTTCTTTCTCAGAGACATTGAACATGTATCGTGTACGTGCAGCGTCTGGCGCAGCGGTCCAGCATCCAGCAGGAGGCGCGCTGTGCGTCATGCATGGAGCAAGTGACGTCACGCGTGCCGGTGTCTCGTCCCGTCCCGCCCCGCCCCGCCCCGTCAGGCTCTCCAAACCGGTGGCGTCGCCCCGCGCGCCGCAGGTCGGGGCGGAGCGGGTGGGGCGGGGCGGGAGAATTCGCTTTGCTCGTTTTGCCTTGTCCGTCCATTAGGAAGAGTGTAATCGCTATGGCGCACGCATTTAGAAAAGTTACACTCCCGCTCTTGATTTCGTTTTTGCCGCTTATTTCCTGAATCGAGTGTGCATTTTAAGTTGAAATGCAGTTACCGCAGAGACGGAAAGCTCAGCCAGAAAACATTGAGAACTCAGTCAGCTTTTTTCCCCCCGCTGTTGCTGACCATAGCGGTGGCATTTGAAGCTTTTGAAGGTTCCGTCCACCCGGCAGGACGACGTCGACGTTGACGGTTACTGTGGTCGTTAGCGTCGCGCACGCGCCCCAGCGCACGTTGTCGACGGGAACGATATCGCTGTGGGCCATCCGCAGAGCGTCTTTGTCGACAGGTGGACCCACTTACTGCCGTTTCCGTCAACGGAGACGCGTCCGAGTGTGGCGGTTCTTTCCGCGATTTTTATTTATATACCTATTTTTATGTGACGGCCGGTGGCTTTTGTTGTTTTCTCTGCAGTGAAGTTGGGGATCGTCGTCGTCGGAGCGTTCCTACTGGCGGTCGGGATTCTGCTCTCCTCCGTCCCCTGGCTGGACCTCATCATTTCAAAGGTGAGGATGTTGGCGCTGATCAAGGGGCTGTTGGCTCGGGGGCGCGCGGGTGGTCTTTCGAGTATGGCTCACGAACAGTGTCCTTTTCTGCCCCGCCGTAGAACTTGAAGCTGTGGAACGGCACCCTGGCCTACACGTACTGGCAGAGGCCTGGCGTCATCCGGCTCACCAAGGTCTGGGTCTTCAACATGACCAACCAGGACGGCTTCCTCCTCAACGGCGAGAAGCCCCGCCTCCAGGAGATCGGGCCCTTCGTCTACAGGTGAGATCGACGACCCCGCCCCCCTTCCCCTCGAACCGGCCTCAAGGGGTCGACATTCCAGTTGGCAACGCCGAACCTCGAGGCCGGCAGGCGCGTATCCAGGATCAGCTGGCCCGGGAGAGGGGGGAGTTGTAGGCCTCGTCTCTCGTCTTGCCTACGTTTAGGCGAAACGCACTGCAAAGTGCCTACCTATCAGGCGTCTCTATGAGGGTGTGCATTGGGGGGGGGGGTATTGACCCCCCCTCTCCCCTTTGGGTCCCCTACGACACGACAGGTCGTTTGGTACGCGCCAGGTACCCGCCAGGTCCCCGTGGACCGCGGATGCTCGTCGGGCCGGTCGGGCCCGCGTGGCGGAACCTAGTCGGCCGGAGCCTCGCCACACTCGCTGTCCTTGAAAGTGCAACCTCTTCGGGGATCCGTCCACGCTGGACCAGCAGTGCATAAGCTCCCGACGAGCTTTCGCACTCTCCAGAGTGCCGTATTGTGATGACTAAACCGCACTTTTCATAGCATCGTCGAATCGATATCGGGGAGGGTTTGACGTCGAATAGCCGTCGTTGCGCTGCTGGCTGACCCGCTCGACCTCTCAAATACCGAGCCAAAATCAATGGAAAATAGCCGAAATCAGTCGACCCAATCACCGCTCCCGGGTTGACAAAAACTGATAATGTCTTCTTCTCTACCCTCAAGGGAGGACATGGAGAAGGTGAACATCGCCTTCCACGACAACGGCACGGTCACGTTTCAGCATCGCAAGATTCTCCGCTTCGTCCCGGAGATGTCCGTCGATCGGAACACCAAGATCGTGCTGCCCAACATTCCGCTGCTGGTGGGTACAGTACCGACGGGCACAACTGATTTAACCGCACAATTATACACCTGTCCGCTGTTTCTTTATAATTCTCGGACGGGAAGCTTTGAGGGACCACTCGTCTCTCTATGCGGAACCGCGCCCGCTATCGTTTTTAGCACCACACCATAATGTGTCGTCTAATTTTTCCGAACCTAACCATGTTTTTTTTGTCGCTCTCGTACCAGACCCTGTCAACACACGTCTCCAACTCGTTCCCGCTCGTGCAGTTCGTGGTGAGCACGGGCGCGCGCACGCTCGGCCTCAAGCCCTTCGTGTCGCTCACCGCCGACCAGCTGCTCTTCGGCTACGACGACACGCTGGTCAAGCTCGCCCACAACCTCTTCCCGAAGCACCTGCGGCCGCAGGCGCAGATGGGGCTGCTCTTAGGGGTAAGCGCGGATGACTGCCAATCGTGTCACGGTTTACCCACCCCACCAACAGTCTTTTCGAAAATTTCTCAGAATTTTGCAATTTTTGAAAAAGAGTTATGCTCCTGCCCCC